AGTCTAAACTATGTAAGGTAAAGTAAAATAGTTGTTGATCCTTTTCCTTTCTTCCCCCCTTCCTTCCTGCACCCCCACTATGAGGGTGTTATATTTTTATATTTTTAAAGCATACAAACCATGTATGTTTAAAGGTTACATATGTACATCCACATATAAAATATAAAAAATTGAAATTGGTCTACTAAGAGCTGAAATTATGTATTTCATAGAACTACCAAGAATTCTCTCTCTGTTTCACCATTAATGGATTTCTGAGCTGTCCCCAGCTGTTATGAATGAGGCTGCTATGGACATCCTTGTTCAGTTCTTTCCGTTTACAAATGCATGCATTTCTGTGTCTGTTGTCTGTGTGCATACCGCTGCTCTAATACCATGATGAAGCGGTCCATGCTTTCATAGTTGTGCACTCACCAGCTGCTCCGAGTTCCCACTACTGTGGCCTTTATAACTCATACTGTTGTATCAGGAGTTATCTTAGTCCTTGGACGAGTAGCCCCAGTGTCTCAAAGGCTGCAGCATGCCTCTGTGAAGTTCTGAGCTTAGCCCCCTCAGATACGCACTGATTTCTCAGGAGCACCTGTTCAAGCCTCTTCCTCGGGTTTTTATATGATATTTTTATAATCACAACAGGTTGTTTAAACAAAAAGGATGTATCATTTCTCTACCTTGCCCTTATAACGCAGGCCATTTGACAATCCTGGCATCCTTTTTATCTCCCTTTTTAAATTTTTTTTGGTCTTTTCCTATAATTTCTTTATAATTAGTTTTCAGCCCCATCAATCACTGTTTCCCATCCCTCCTCTCCTCCCAGTCTCTCCCTACAACCTCCCTTCCGCCATCCATTCCTCCTCCTCTGTTTCTCTTCAGAAAAGGGCAGGCCTCTCACATCTATCAGTCAGTCATGGCATAGCAAGTTGCAGTAAGACTAGGCACCTCTACTTCTATTAAGGATGAGGATGCCCAGGAGGAGGAAAGGGTCCCAAGAGCAGGTAACAGATTCAGAGACAGCTCCTGCTCTCACTGTTAGGAGTCCCACAAGAAGACCAAGCTACACACCTCTAACATATGAACATATCTCTAACATATGTACACATCTCTAACATATGTACATATCTCTAACATATGTACACATCTCTAACATACGTACACATCTCTAACACTTGGGCCTAGGTCAGCCCATGCAAGCTCTTTGGTTGTTGGTTCGGTCTCTGTGAGCCCCATGATCCCAGGTTGGTTGCTTCTGTGGGTTTTCTTGTGGTCTTCTTGGCCCCTATGGTCCCTATATTCTTTTTTACCCTTCTTCCACAGGATTCCCCAAGGTCACCTAATTTTTGGCTGTGGGTCACTGCATCTGTTTCCATCAGCTGCTGGATGAAGTCTCTCTAATGACAGTTGGGCTAGGAAATGATCTATGAGGAAAGCAGGATATCATTAGGAATCACTTGATTTACTTTTTTTTTTTGGCAGTCATGTTTGATTCTATCCTAGGTCACTGGGCTGTCTACCTCTGGGTTCTGCCCCCCCCCCAAATAGTGTCAAGGGTGGACTCCCTCTTATGGTAGGGTTCTCAAGCTGGACCAGTCGTTAGTTGGCTGCTGCCATAATTTCTGCACCACCTTTACTCCAGCATATCTTGTAGGCAGGGCAAAGAGTAGGTCAAAGGGTCTGGCTGGGTTGGTGTCCCAATCCCTCCACTGGAAGTCTTGCCTGGTTATAGGAGATGACCAGTTCATCTCTCCTGACTAAGAGTCATAGCTAGGGTCATCCTTATAGATTCCTGGAAGTGTCCATGCACTAGGTTTCTAGATCATCCCAGAGATGACCCTGATTTCAGTGGTCTTTCCCAGTACTCTCTCCTTCCTATGCTCCTGTTCCTATGCTCTTGCCATACCCAAATCCTCCCCGCTGTCCACTTGTGATGTCTGTTCTATTTCCCCTTCACAGTGAGATTTAACAACCCTAATTTCCTAACTGACTATCCACAAAGGGTCCCAAGCTCAAGCAGAAAGTCCTCCAGTTGTTCCTTTCTATAGGCCTTCTTCAAGTTTATCCACTGTTGAATGTCTGGTGATGGCTCTTCTGTTCACCATTCTGATTTTTAATATACCTGTCACTGCACATAATATATGTTGCTTTAAATTTTTGTGATTATATCATCTATATAGATTATATTTATAAATCTCTATTTGTTTTAGTTTGGGTTTTTAGTGAAGAGACACCATGACCACAGTGAGGCTTATAAAGAAAACATTTAAGTGGGGTGGCTTGCTCACAGTTCAGAGGTTCAGTCTATTATTGTCATGATGGGGAGCATGATAGTGTGTAGGCAAACATGGTGCTGGAATGATGTGGGATGTCCTTCTGTATTTGTGTTGCTATTATTGACTGATGAATAAAGCTATTTTGGCCAATGAATTAGCAGAGTAAAACCAGGCAGGAAATCAAAACAAAGATATNAGAGAGAGAGAGAGAGAGAGAGAGAGAGAGAGAGAGAGAGAGAAAGCAGAATCAGGGAGATGCCATGTAGCTGCCAAAGGAGACAGACACCAGATCCTTAACAGTAAGCTACAGCTTAGTCCCGGTACACAGATTAATAGAAATGGGTTAATTTAAGACGCAAGAGTTAGTTAATAAGAATACTAAGATAATAGGTCAAGTAGTGTTTTAATTAATATAGTTTCTGTGTGATTATTTGGGTCTGGGTGGCCGGGAAATGAGTGAGCACTGGAGCTGCTACGTCCTGCAGTCAACAAGAAGTTTTGACTGGGTGTCACACTGAGAAAGTTTGAGCGAAGGAGACCTCAAAGCCTGCCCCCACAAGGACACGTTTCCTTGAACAAGGCCACATCTCCTAATAGTGCCAATCCCTTTGGGGAGCATTTTCTTTCAGACCACCACATTCCACTCCCTGGCTCCCAGAGGCTTATAGCCATATCATAATGCAGAAAATACTACAAAAATTCCTGTAGTACATAGCAATCTCCAACTTGTTTTAAAGTCCTAAATTCAAGGTATCTTCTTACATTATCTATATGAGAAAGAAGACAGACAGGAAGACATAGATATCACCTGTAGCCAGGCTGGGATAGAATTCACTATGTAACGAAGGCTAGCCTTGGGCTCATAAATTTTATTGCTTCTACCTCCAAGTACTGAGGTTACACATGTGTGTCACCACATCCAAATTCAATGAAAACTTTTGAATTAACAGAAATAGATGCTATTGAATAGTACTTTAAAGAGTTTGATACTCTTTATCAAAATTCAAATAGTCCAGTTCAAAGGTGATGAACGTGATGTTCAGATTGCTTTGTTAGAGAATGGCAGAGCAACATGGATATTTGACACCTTCTCCATCTCTTTTTTCTTTATCTCCTCTATTCTGAAATAAGAAAATAGAGAAGAAATAATAGGCATCTTTGCTCCCGAGGTAACTTTTTGAGACAGGACTTCTGTGTAACCCTGGACTGACCTTATTCTACTAAATAATTTTTGAACCTAAATAGGCTGAAATGACACCAGACAGGCACATAAACTGTGCTGTGACAAAGGATGGCAGCAGTGGGCATGTAGTCAATGTGTGACATTGGATCTCCTATGGGACAAGGCCTGGCTGCAAGCATGGCTTAGGGTCATCCTTTTTGTAGAACTGTTTCATTGCGGCAAAAACTTTAACACAGATACTGAACTGGAAAGTGAGCAAGTGTCCAGATCTCAGAGCAAATCAGATAAACTGTGGGACAGTGGGAAGTATTCCAAAGGAGAAAAGTTGACTTGTGTGACCTGGGACAAATGATACACCTATGTACCCTCTCAAAAAATAAATATATAAAAGGGGAAATAAGAGATTGACGAAATGAAGAGGAAACTATCTTTGTGGCATTGAGCCACATATAACAAATGCGAGGCTCTTCTGTACTCTTGGGTACGTGCCTAAGATCTAGGCCACTTCCATTTCCCCGTAAAAATACAGAAGGAAGCAAGTTGGAGACCTCACTGCCAAGGGTATATCATACTATTCAGACCTGGTGGGACTTGCTTGCTTCCTGTGATATGGGGGATAACAACGTCAGCAGGATGTTCCTGGAGCCCATAGGCTACCCTGCAAGGACCAGGCCTTTGGAAGATAAAGAGGTCAAGTTGACCTCCTTTTATATTAAATGTTGTGATATCACAATACAGCTGGGGTTTTCCCAAGGCAGAATGTTCTCCAGATTCCTATCAGGAGACCTTGAGAGCAGCCTTTGACTTTGGCAGTCACACAGTGGCAAATATTGCAGTGACCAGTATCAGACTGTAGGAGACTTGCAGTAAAAAATGCAATAGGATCTGCAAACCTCTAACCCTCTCCCACTTCCCAGGCCTGTAACTCAAGGCTCATTTAGGAGAAGTCTAGGCAACAGGCTTAATAGCTCACGGTTAGATAGCAAAAATGTGACTAAAGTTGTTCAAGGTTGAATATAAAATGTTGTCACAGACTCAGGTATTGGCTACTAGGTCCCCAGACACAGTTGTGGTCTTCAGAGGTTCTAGAAACTTTAAAATGTGGAGCTTTGCTGGAGGGAGCAGGCCGCTGGGAAGAGTTTTTGGAAGCTGTCTGGTCCCCAGCACCTTCTCCTTCTGCTTCCTGTGGTGGGTCGAAGAGCTTTCTCCATGAGCTCTCCGTGCCACGATGTGTCTCACTGTGGATCTGGAATCAATGGCACCAAGAAAGAGGAACCAAAAGCTTCGCAACCAGGAGCTACGATAAAATTTCATTCAGCAAGGAAAACAACACATGTCCCCACGAATAGATCATGAGTTAGAATTTTTTTTATAAGAACATGCAACCCCTAGAGTCTTCCACAGAACACTGGAGAAGTCAACCCGGGCACAGAGAGTTCCGTCAGAGCTTCAATTAAACTGATGATACTTCGTTTTAGAAAAGAGATTATAAGTACAAGATCGTGCAGCCAGGTATGGTGGAAATGCAATGTCAGCTTTTCGTTTGTTTTCAGAGACTGTCTCATGTACACCAGGACTGGCCTTGAACTTCAGATCCTCCTGCCTCTCTGCCTTCCAAGTGCTGGGGTTCCGGACATGCAGGATGATGTCTGGCTGGTGTGCCAAGTTCTCAAGCATGAAAGAGAGCACTCCTACTTGTATTTGGCTGGGACACCTCAAGGATCACAAAACGAAACACTCTCTCATCATCCTTTTCCTTGCAAGCAGCAGTACTGCCGCATAGACATGAAGACTGGCTTTGAGTCTCTCCTGGAGCGTGGGACCTGGTAGGCTGCGAAGTTCCGCAAAAGTTTTCCCTCTTCACATATAGAACAGGTTGCTCCCAGCAGTGACCTAACTCGGGAGAGGAGACACTGGGTCTCATGATTCTTTGCTTTTCTCATGTGCTGGTGAGATAGCAGATCTCTGGTACACAGGGACTTGCTGACGCCGGGAAAGCAGTCATGCTTCGGGCAGCAGCGTGGAAGGAAGCGGGGCGAGCATTGCTTCTGGAACCGTCTGAAAGTACAGACTGTTCAGGAAAGGCCCAAGGCACATGAGATTTGTTTTCAATTAGAAAGCCTCTGGCTTCAAATGATACAAGTATCTTTTAATCTTCTTTTAAATTGTTGTTGGTGCGGGCAAGATATACTACTTGAGTATGTCAGGAAATGAACTTTAGAAAGCACCGCCTTCAAACAGTTTTGACGAAATAAAGTAGCGAGGGAAGGTGTGAGACACATGGGCTTCGAAGCCAGGGACTTGAGCTCACAGTGCAACCCTGCTGTTCAGCAGCAAAATCTTCTCCGCAATTACTCAACCATTAGGCATTGAGGACATGGAATTCAAGGTGAAGTTTCTTCCCAGCTCAAAAAGCCTCTGTAACAAGGCAGAAAAAAAGGAAAGGGATTGTACTGTTGTTTAAGTGCTAAACCACATGACAAAGGATATTGATGATGCCCAGAAAAGGCTGCAACAGACGGAAGGAGCTCTTACTCTCAAATCTAGCTGGTCAGACAGCCCACTAAGGAGAGCCTTACATTTTAGATTCAAGTGGCGTGTAGATCTGTTTCTTCCTGGGGTTGAACAGGCTGAACTTTTTCTTTCTTCAGGCTTCCACCTCAAGGATTTAGAGCCCCCACGTGTTTTAGGAAAGCTTCCTGATTGCAAACGTTTGAAAAGGACAGCAAAAGAAAGTTGGGGATTGCGCAGGGGGGTGGGGGGAGGAGGCAAGAAAATGGAATTTTCTCCCTTCTTTTCAAAAGGAATAATTAAGTCTATAATTTTAACTTTTATTTGCTAATACGCACTTCAAGCTACTCTTCTACAGAAATAGGATAATGGTAATAGCACTCATTTAGTCCCTCACGAGCCTGGGAGGGCTTAGAGATGACAGTCATTCTGCCTCAGCCTCTGGAATGTTGAGATCACTAACCAGCGCCATACAGCCAGCTAAGACCCGCTTCTCAGGGCTGTTGTGAGGATGGCAAATCAAAAGACATCCAGGGTGTATGCTGTCCTTAGGCCTTGAGATGCATGGAATTTTGATACATCTTCAATGTGCCTAGTGCTACATTTTCTGCTCGTTCATGTGAGCTGAATCTCTGAACATAAACGATGCGGCTCATGTGGAAGCCAGAGCAGAGGGTCCAGCTCAGAAATCACGACGATAATACATGGCTATTGTCTGAAGCCACTAAATATGTGCTAAGTGACTGGAAACTAATACAGGCTTTTTTTTTTAAGTCACATTTCAAGCTCATGCCACCAACAAAATCTCTCGGAGGAAAAGACTTAACCCAAAGTTTGGCTTTGACAGAGCTCACCAGTAAGAAAGCCCCTTGAGTGTGAAACCCATCAGTAAACACATCAAAGACACCAACTGGGCCTGAGCACTTGGGACATGTTCCTCTCGTTCCTGTCTCTTCTTTAAGTTAGGAAGCTGAACCACACGATAGCCAAGGGCTCTACTTGCTGTGTTTCTTCTTCTCCTTTAGGATGGCAGACAATGAGTGCAGGAAGAAGAGGACTGGCTTTGAAAAGGAGACCATGTGAAGCTGTATTCCAGCATGCCAGAGACACACACTGGGTGTTCCCAAATGCAAGAACGCACACTTAGCCGCCTCCAAATCTTGACTGGACCTAACTAAATATATATTTCTACATGCCCTTTTCTCTCAGAAGCTTAAATTGCCAGAAATACGGTAATTGTTTTCTTGGTTTTCTGTTTTGCTTTGTTTTTGTTTTTCTTGTTTCTTTTTTTTATTCATAAAGAGAGGCTTTAGTGGAAGTTTCTAGAAGGCTACTATGTGTCACAGAACATGGAGAACCATCTCATCCAAGGCCTTTATCCCATAAGAGTAAAGATATGCTCATCAATGCCTTGCTTGGCCAGAAATTCTAATGGGAAAAGTGCTCAGAAATGAAACCCGGGAATCTGTACTTTTAGCAAGCAGCAGTGAGGGTTTTGGAAGCACTGAGGTACAATAAACTAAAGGTCTTGGGGCTAAAGCATCACAAAGAGTAGACTGGAGACTCGGAATTTCCGAAGTCCCGACAGGAAGCAGGCTTCACGTTCTTTGACTAAATAAAGAAATTTCAGTGAAGAAATCTTAGTATGGGGGGCAATTGTAAAGGGCGAACTAGGGTTGTTCAAGTGTTCAGTGAGTGAAAATGGCATGGAGTCCTCACATGCATGTAACAGAAGGAGCAAAGGTTTCGTGACAGTGTCCTCAGTCAGTTCCTCTGACTGAGCCACAGGCCGATGAAGATGGGCCCGAGCAAGGAACACAAGCCAAGGAGAGATTCAGGATGCAGCATGTTCAAGAAACTTTGCATGGCACCCACACAGCACCCATATGAGCACCCCCCCCCCCAGCATGGAGCAGGAAGGTGGGGGAGGATGTCACTTTTCATACCAGAAGCCAGATAGAGGTTGTCCAATGAGAGACTGACTACCTTATCCCAACCATGAGCTTTCCTGACTACAAACTAAGGCAGAGATGGTCAATAAATGGCTGGGGGCAGAGTAGTGATAGAAAAGAATTAGCACAGGGGCTTGAATCAGAGATGGACACAGATGGCGTCCCCTGCCCCCGGCCCCAGACTTTTGGGTCAGTGGGAACCACAATTAAACTGAACCAGCTACTGTCATGCCAAGGGCTACCCAAGGTCTCTGGGACCAGGCACAAGAGAAAGAAAAGGCAACAACCACCTTGTGGCTAGGGTGGGCAGTAACCAACCAAGCACCACCTATGACTCAACCAAGAGCCCCGGTGTTGGGTGATTGGGCATCACTGTGGTGAGAGAGTACGGGGTGGGGAGGAAGAAGAGAGGGAGAGGAGGAATGGGTAGAGAGACAGACATGGAGAGGTGAGGGCAGCGAGGAATAGGCTGACATGGATGGCCAGCTGAGTCCAGAGAGGTGGCTGGGCCTGAGCTATGGTCGAAGGTCAGGTTTTGATCAATGGCCCTGGAGTGGCTGAAGGGGCCTTTGTTGATGTCTGTGGTTACTGTCATTACTGGGGTACCATGCCAGGGCCTGTGGTCTGAGCCACCACCTAGGGCCATGTTGGTGCGCAAGGGCTGTGCTGCTATGGGAAGCCATGCCAATCTGGGTAGTCTGAACAGCCACCTGGGAACCATGGTAACAACCTGACCAGGGCTGCTGTTGAGGACCATGTCTGGGTCCGTAGTCCTACTAAACCAGGGTCTATATTGATGTCCATGGCTCATATTGTCATTAAAGGCCACATTGATGCCTTGGGGCTGGGTTGCCCATGAAGAATTACTGAGGGAAGAAAATCATTCATGATTAGGTCAAAGTTTGTACTTCAGGCTTGATAATAGTTAGAGATCATAACAAGCAGACAATTTTACCATAGCACATTATCAGAGTAAAGCCTGGGAATAATCCAATAAAAGTTTTTCATAAAGTTCCTGCCCCTCACTGGATATGGCAGCAGGCAAGCTGGTCCTACCCATTGGGGAGAGCTTGCCTCCACACTCAGGAAAGATAGCCCCAGCACTAACCAAAGGCATACACTTGTACTGTATGTTGGAGTTGGTTTTCTGTTTGTTTGTTTGTTTTTACTCCTTGCTTTTTGACTGTTTGGGGGCCTACCACCCAGCTTCCAAATGAATACACAGAGACTTCTTCTTACTTATGAATGCCCATCTTAGGTTGACTTGTTTCTAGCCGGCTTTTCTTAACTTAAATTACCCCATCTGCCTTTTGCCTCTGGGCCTTTACCTCTATTCTACATGTCTTTCCTTACTCCTTACTCAGTTGCTGGCTCTGTGGCTGACCCTGGCATCCCCTCTCCTTCCTTTTTCTCCTCCTTCTCTTATTTATTCTCTCTGACTGACAACCCCGCTTATTTTTCTCTCTCTCTCCTGCCTAGCTATTGGCCATTCAGCTCTTTATTAGATGAATCAGGTGTTTTAGACAGGGCCAGGAACACAGCTTTAGAGTTAAATAAATGCAGTGCATCCTTGCGTCATTAAACAAATATTCCACAGCATAAACAAATGTAACACATCTTAAGCCAATATTCCCCAGCAGTGTATGGTATGTGAGGCAGAGAATGGATGGTGGTAGGCCAGGGACCTTCTGTATACCTGACAGACTGAATTCTTGCCACTCACACTGAAGACAGTGGGAATCACACATTCGTGTCTGTAAGAGCTCTCCTGAGCCGCTCTGAGGAAGCTTCTCCCTAGCTACACTGCTTCAATTTCTTTCTTGGCTCAGCTCACTGCTGCCCTCTGGATAGAGCAAATCAGTTAACTAATAAAGCATCCCTCAAAAAGTGCCCTGTCACTATTTCCCTCATTCGATTCGGAGAAGAACCAGTTTCCAAAACATACAACGAGTTGATGTTATGTCAGCTCGCAACGTGGTGGAGGCACACAAAAATGTATCATCAGTCCACTAAGTTGGTCCTTTCCTATTGGTAAACAACAGGAAAGTTAAGTGTTCAATCTCATGTAAAGTTTAGTGGTCCAGGAGTTTAAGTATCTCTTAGCCTATCTGAATTCATTGCTAGATACGGTAGTTTAGGAAGCTTGGTCTCACTCGCTGTATCTCAACCTTGAAAACGTGGGCTGTGGCAGTCAAAGCAGAATGGCTCTCTGGCTCCTTATATGCTGATGAGGTATGGACAGTCACCTGACTTTTTATTCTAGTTTGTTTGCTTGTTTGTTTGTTTGTTTTTGAGACAGGTACTTGCTTTGAGCTCAGGCTGGCTTAAATTTGTTCCAATCCTCATGCCTTGGGCTTCTGAGATCTGGGGTCATAGGAATGTGCCAGCATGGCTGAGTGCTCTTTCTGGTTGGGATCTGCACACCTCCATTCAGCAACGATTTTCCAGGGCTCGGTATTTGTCACTGGTGAGCACTGGGTCCAGGCTGTATGTCCGTCCAGTTCCTTCACCTATCCCAGTCTCTGCTGAGGGGCCACCACATTTTGGCACAGCAACCTTATGACAAGTTCGCTGTCTTCTTTCCTTCTTTCTTCCTTCCATTCTTTCTTTCTTCCTTCCTTCTTCCCTCCTTCTCTTTCTTTCTTTCTTTCTTTCTTTCTTTCTTTCTTTCTTTCTTTCTTTCTTTCTTTGCAACAGGATCTCATGTGGCCTTGAATGTGCTTTGTAGTCGAAGCTTGAACTCCTGACCGTCTTGCCTCTTCTTCCTAAGTGGTGGGATTGCAGCATTCACCATCACCCTCAAGTCCTTTGGCTTTTGATGGAGTTTACTGTGAGGCAGGAGAGCCAAGGGGTGTTCACATAGTTATTTGGGCCTTTTTGTGTGTTTATGACCTGCTGCTGTCTTTTATGTCTGAGCCCTGCTGTGGGTAAACCTTTACCTAAGATCCAAACTGATATGTGAGGAAGAATTCTCCCTCTTTGTCTGAAATATGTATGGTTGATTTTCAGAACTCATAGTCTGGATTTGTGAACATGCCTATTTGCTAACAGTTATTTGTAACCCCCAAGATCAATCTAGTTATGTGCCCCATAAAGATCTTTTAATTAATGAACCACGTGGACAATAATGGTCTCATATATGATAATGCTAGTGATGTCAGAGCCTTGTAGTGTGTGTGAAAGCATGCCCCGTGATGTTCACACCGTGTTGAAATCACAGTGCATGACTGTATTTGCTGCACTTTTGCAATTATCTGTGGAAACACAGGGGATGGTGAAAAAAGAGTAGAGCCCATTGTTGATGAGCTCAGCTGAGGTCAGGCAAAGCAGCGCTCTGCCTTTCTGTTGCACCTTCATAGGGAATCCAGGGATGGGCTCTTCAGTCTACTTAGCGCTGTATTGTTTGTTTTGCTGGCAACTTTACTGTCTAAAATGGTCCCCAGTTGTAGCTCTGTAGTGTTCTCAAATTGAAGAAGGCTGTCATCAGCCTCACACAGAAAGTACATGCTCTGTGCCCTGAATGTTTGTGTGTGTGTATGCACACACACGTGTACACATATACACATACACGCACACACACACACACAATAATATGCCCTAATATGGCACAATTTGAAAAAGAGGTCCTTAAAAAGTCAATTCAGGTTATAAGGGTTGGACATGAGCTGATAGAATTAGTGCTCTTACCAGAATATATACTTTCTCTCTTCAGCAGACAAACCAGGTAGAGACAAAATAGCCATCGTAATGCCAGGAAGAGAGTTGCCACAAGAAATTGAACTTGCAGGCTGCTTAACCTGAACTTTCTTGCCAGAACTATGAAAAAATAATTTCTACTGATTGAACATCTGATCTATGGTATTTGGTTATAGAAATCTCAATAGCTATGTATTCAGTGTGTATCAATGGACATATAGTATTAGTAGCTGTGAGTTCCAAGTCCCTGACTAATTCATTAATATTTTAGATTCTTTTAATATAACAATACATCTTCATAGAACATCTATTCTATCAAAGATAGTGTCAAGAGAACCAGAAGATAGAGACAAACCGGAAGGAAATGTTAGAAAAAGAGTCATCTAACCAAAAATTGGTGCTGAAAATATATAAAGAACTCTTAAAATTTTAACAACAAGAAAACACTTCAATGAGGAATTAAAATGAAAGTCCAAACCCCAAATGCTCCATGTGATGGTAAACTTTGATTGTCATGTTGATTGCACAAAGCAACCCCTAAGGAGATTAGTGAAGCTGGTCCAGATGTGCTGATGAGGTTACAT